TTATATCCGTTGCTGAGCAGCAGTGTCGTTAGTGTCTCTCCCGACTCAAGAGTTTAGAGCATCTTCCATGCTGTTATTACTGACTGTCGGAAATAATGGTGTGGGTGGGCTTGATGGCATAACATTCATATTGCGAAAGTCTGTCAGGTCATGAGTCGAAATGGGAGCTCTTACACACATACACACACCCACACAGCACGATGATCTGTCAAGCCTAAGTTTTCGTTTTAAGGTAGGAAAGTACCTACCTACCAACCTGCCTGCCTACCTACCTACCTGCCTACCTGCCTACCTGCCTAACACTCGGCACTACAGCCCTGGGTGAGCCTTGGGCTCCTCCACAACCAGGCTCCACAACCAATGCGTGCTGCCATAGGAATGGACCCACGCATGTTGACCCGAGGCTGACTGGAGGACCAGGGTATCTCTCTTAGTCTTGACTCTACCCTTTAACCTTCCCGGCAAGAGTGACCCTACCGGTAGTTAGACTACCGCCGGCATAGCTCTCCAGGTCACAGAGTCACGCAAGCCCCACCACCACGACAATCTTGAGACACCTTTCAGGGGGAAGGTAGGAAAGTAGTCCAAAAAATACGTAAGACAGATAGTTGGAAAATCGATTTGTGAAATAGACACGAAACAGAATGACGTTTCTCAGTCCCTTGAGCAGAGTTCGTTGACATCAGACAACCATCCCATCGACTTTCTCACAATAGACAATCTGAGAGAACAGAAGTCTTCATCACCACTTTTCTTCGTGACGTTACACCGGGCCAGTTCTCGTCCGGCCCAGCAAACACGTGCTGTCAACCACAAATCAATTTGCCTTTGTCAATTATGTACATCTTTTCGTTAAAAAGAAGTTCAGGGAGGAACGCACCATAAGGAGCTTCGTAATCTATACCCTGGCGGCCCGGGTTCGATCCAGGATCTGGTCAAGTGGGATTTGTGGTGGACAAAGTGGCGCTGGGGCTGGTTTTCTCCAAGTACTTCGGTTTCCACTGTCAATCTTCATTCCACCAAATTCTCCATCGTCATAATCACCCGGGGCAGGCTACAATAGGCCAATCAGTGGCCGCCGTGCCCAGTGGACCCAGCTGGACTCCACCCCCCACTAAGCGAAAAATCTATACCCTTCACCAGATATTAGTGTGGTCAAGTGAAGGAGGTTGAGTTGGACGGCGTATACACCGCATATGTTAAAGAGTTGTTAAAGGTATTCAGATTTATAGTTGGAAAATACCACATGGGAGAACTAGGGATAGATTTGATAATAATATTGTGACATGATGACATTATAGTTTAACAAGAAAACCATCATCTGCTACGCAACAGGCGGTAAACAACATCTGACAGCTGGTTTCCGCGGCAACAGATACGCATGCAACAACAGAGGAACCGCTGGAAGTGGTGTGTTCTGCTGGGTCCGCCCCGAGGCTATATAACAAACACAAACTAGACAATTTATTCGTTCGAGTGGTGTACAAAAATAAGAATTTTCAGTAACATGCTATATGTGCGATACGTACACTTGACAAAGGCGAAGCGAAGCCTATTCATTAGAGGCAAACCCATCCTCTCGTCAGAGAGGATGTTACATAAGGACTACGACCGCAGGGGTTCAGTTGTAAAAATATAATCTCTGGTCGTGATCCTCAAGGAGCTGGACGTCAAGACGGACTGACAGGTAGTAAACGCCAGTCGTAAAGTAACCCTGACTCTCTGATTTTTATTATCGAGAATGATCAAAAGTTGCACCCATGAGGAGTTTGTGAGATAGTTGTGAGCCGGTAAGGCCATGGGCACGGAAGCAGAAGAATATCTACTGTTGGAAACCATTAACAGGCAACGTTAATGGGGAACGTGTATATCCGTGAAACTGTTATGATTACCTGTAGTTACGAGTTATAGGTGGTCAACAAATACAATTACCAAAGCAAACCCCTTGTCTAGTCACATGACACGTCACAATGCCAAAATGGGTTTCGTGGAAAGGGATATGGCAGTGTAGATTAGATTCACATGGTTCAGAATAGGGGACCTTGGCAGGCTCTTATGGACACAGTAATGAACAATAGGATTCCATAGAAGGCGGTGAATTTCTTGACTAGCTGAAAGCAAATTGGTTATTATTTCCAAATATAATGAGATTCACGTTTTGAGAACCCCCTCCCCCTCACTCACAGCAGTGTGCTGATCGTGCTGAAGAATCATAATACAGTTCTGATGTCTGAAGGGTGTGGAACCGATGCATTCCTTGATAAAACATTGATCCAGTTACTTCAAAAATGTATGGTCCCACAGCTACATGAGTGAGTTCACGCGTTACTGCAGTTTTAGGCTTATGTTTCTTTATTTACTCGTTTATTTAAAGACGATGTCGGTAATCCGACTATATAGATCCTAATGACAGGATTAGTGATGCAGTGGAAAGATGCGGCCATGATGTAGTATGAGGCATATTTGTCCATAAGTACTGAGTAAAGTCACGAAGAACCTCAAAGATACTGGAGTCTGTGCATATAAACCGTGTAAAACTACACGTAATAGTGAGTGTAGTGACGTCATACAGTTTTCTGTTGCCCGAACGCTCAAGGTTGCATGCACAAAAAGAATAGCAAGAAGTCTGGTAAGAAATAATCACCTACTTTTCTGTGATACGACAATGACCCCGTTTAAAATGACGCCTCCGACAATTCTTATATTGTGGCATGTGTATTCCTTGCCGTGGTAACCTTTTTCTTACCGAGCCATTACTTAACAACGAAAGGGGGATTCAGATACAGACACGCAGAATGACGGGAGAGAAGTATGAATTACGCCGTTGAGACGGGCTCAGCAGCCATCATATACATAACCAAGTTTCATTAAGATGGGTTCAGCCATTCAAAGGTTTTCTTTATTGCTAGTGGGGTGGGACTAAGTCCCTTGTACTGCGGCCACTTCTGGCCTATTGTACGAGCCCCACATGATAGGTGAAGGTGATTGTGGAGCAATTGGTGGAATGAAGATTGGCAAAGGAAACCGAAGTACTCGGAGAAAACCTGCCCCAGCGCCACTTTGTCCACCACAAATCTCACTTGACCAGAACCGGGATCGAACCCAGGCCGCCGCGATGGGAAGCGAGCGTCTAACCGCTTGAGCTATGGTGCGATTCAAAAGTTAATAAGGGGGGATATACAGACTCCCAGACATCATGATCTCGTAAGCCTACTTTTTTTTTTTCAAAATAAGGAAAGTAGGCTAAAAACAGACAAAACTCATAAACATCCTCTTCAGCCTGAGATAAATACATAGCTAAGAGTGTCTCTCTGCTTGACCACAAAGCCAAGAAGTGGGGAGTGGTGTTATAACTCCATATATTTTCAACCTCAGCAGCAGGTGGAGGTTACCGGTAAGATTCCCTGCCCATCCTCTTTACACCCGGCAACAGAGCTACCAGTACCACACTGAATAGGAGTGTCAATGGATCACATAGAGATACTCACTCACTCACTCATGGAGCTGAGGCCTTCTTGAGGAGCCGCCAATTGTGCAGCTACTCAAGAATTTCCCAGCATTTTAGGGAACCAGAAGGTTCATCACCGTGTTCACAAGAGCCCTCTATTGGTCCCTGACCTGAGCCAGATCAATCCAATCCATACCATCCCATCCTATCTCTCTAAGATCCATTTTAATATTGTCCACCCACCTACACCTGGGTCCTCCGAGTGGTCTCTTTCTTCTGGGTTGGTGCGAGATAATGAAGAGAAAGGTTTCTATTTCGGGTGGGACTCGAACCCTGGTCTTCCAGCTCGTAGCTAATCATTGTACAGACCGAGATATCACCTCTCCCGGCAAAGAATAAAATGAATTGTATCGAATGTTTAAAAGTATGTAATTCCATCGTAATTCCTCGATAAATTTGCCATTATTCTGCTGGCTGTAATTAACAGAAGTTAATATTCTTAAAAAATAATCAGTATTTTAATTAATCCGTTTTAGGACAGTAGCATTCCAATCTGACTTGTACTCGAATTGAGTTTAATGCAGTATCCGCTTTAAAATTGAAGAGTGTCTGACAAAATAATATCAAACATAAATATGTTTACACCATAATTTTACGTTTGCATAATTGACTGAAAATAAGTTTACACACACACACACACACACACATATTATATACCGATATTCCGAGGCAGAAAGGGACAACATAGATGAATATTCGCCAAAGATACGGATCGGAGAAGTTGAAATATGGTACTTAAATAACTCAGGAAAAACTGTCACAATACGAAGCGTAAAGGTTCCAGCTGACTTTCAAACCATTTGCAATTACTACTAGCCTACTGTACATAGTTCTAACTTTCTGCTTCCTTGAGTCTTTAAAAGTAAGTAATTGGGTCATTTCATACCTGCGAGAAAGGCAGATATATACTTGCCAACAGCGAAAACGGTTCTTCAAATACCTTCATATGAATAGGGTGCAGTTTCAAATCAGACGAAAACATGAATCTATATCAGGATTACTGGGTTTTTGAACTTTCTACATCGTCCGGTATTGTAGAATATAGAAAACATAACGTTTTGGAAACGGTTTCTCTTTCTACCCTTAGGTGAGGGGGGGAAGACATTCAGAAGTCCCTTAGAAAAGCTAACTTTAATCACTGAATATCCAGTCCAGGTTAGCTCTTTCTAAGGGACCCAACTGAGTAGGTATCTTCCTATCTCACCTGAAGACGGAAACCGATCCAGTTTCCTAAATGTCGTGTTTTCTATTTCCTAGAATACCGAACGATGGGAAAAGTAAAAAACCCAGTAATTCTGAGCGTTATGCACCCCTAGAATGTAAGTGAATCTGTGTTCAGATTTTGCATTTCTTTGCGAGCAAGCAGGCAAACGAGGTGAACCAGTTTTTCATCTATTGCTTTCGGCATTGTTCAACTGGTCTAACCGGTTTCTGTCAGCTGCAGACGGTATACCAGTAGCCAATGCTGCAAGTCCATTCAGTTCAGCGGTTGCGCGCGTAGACGTAGTGTCACTGTTCCCGTGTGTCCTGCGTAGTGGAGTCGTTACTATGTTTCTCTGAAACAGCGGTTTTCAAACAGGTCGCGTCTTTGGCTGCGAAGAGTGGGTATTGTGTATTGCATGCAGCATAGGTGTAAATCACGAGGTCTTGGTGTGTAACCCTGATGTGGAGATGTTTTATAGGTTAGGTTCTGTCTTACCATACATTATTGGAGGGAAAAATGTTAATGTACAAAAAGTGAGGTTATAGGTGTACTAGCAACAATCGTTGATAGAGATGCGTGCATAATATGGCAAGTTCTTAGTGCAGTTTCAGTAGTACATAAGTAGAAAAATAAGGTTTTATTTCTGAAGCGTAAGTTTAGAAGTGAAAAACTTCGTCTCAACTGAAACGAATTTGTGATTAATGCGAAGTGACTGTGGATTGTTTTACCTTAAATTATTCTATAAGCATTTGCGTTCAGTAAACTGAGTTACTTTGTGATTTAATTGGATTTAAATTACTTTTCTTTCCGTTTAACTTCGCCGTGCTTGAAGAAATGTGTAAATATGCTTTAGAGTCTGTGTGTCTACAGGAGTGATTGATGGATAATATAACGAACCGCGAAGAATAAAACGACGTGAAAATTTGAAATAGAGATGGAAGTTTATTATTAAATAATTAAACTTTACGTCCATCGTAATATTGAAGCAAACGTGTTTGTGTGTAAGGGAGAAAATCTTGATGTAATTACTAGAAGAGAAAATTACGATGCCAGAACAACGTAATTATGGCAACAGTGGTTCTGCCAATGGGATGGAGATTGGTAACAGTAGTCAGGTGAGTACGAGAAATGGTTTCATAATTAAGAAATTAATAGTTATGAACTATTGTTTGAAACATAATCAGCATTCATCATTCACGGCTACATTTGCAAGTGGTCGCTTTACTCAGCCATGGTGTAACGTTAAGGGATTTCACATGTCATGTGTTACTATTGTTACATCATGACTCCGTGAACGGTTGTTTCCTTTAAAACGCAAATCAGTCTGTGCCGGTCACAGTGGCACGCGATCTAAGGCATGAACCGTCTTCGCCTGCTCGAACAGTGGGATCGTGGGTTCGAATCACACTCGAAGCATGGATGTTTGTCCGCGTTTATTCTGTGTTTGTGTTGTGTGCAGGTAGCAGCCTTGCGACGGGCTGATACCCGTACCAAGGAGTCCTACCGACTGTCTAAAAGATTAAAAACTGAAGTGAAACGAGACGTTTCACGGATGCCCTATGTTCAGTGGGAGCAATAAGAATATGAATGGATGAATCAGTCTATGGGTTTAATTGATCCTGAGGCTATCCAGCCACACTTTTAAGTGCAAAAGTTGCTCCCACGCACAAATATGCAGTGTGATCATCTGAGATGTTCTAGCAAATTGCTGAGCCGCTCGGGCGGGATTGTCGGGCTCCATCCCGTCTACACTTCCCGTTGAAATTCGGACTGCTAGCATAATCGGTAAATCTATTGCCTAACGCATAGTGAAGGAGACTTACTCAGATTGCAGCAGATGCTAGAAATTCTCTGTTGTTGTGGACCCATTCTTGGCCTCCATATGTGTGCATATGTGCCACAAGGGATGGGCTATTAAAGCGGCCTCCGTAGTCTAGGGGTAAGTTTCCCGCCTCATGACTCAAGGTACGCGGGAGGGATTTTAAGCCGTGGGTCCCGTGTCGTAGATTTACGGCACGTAAAAATCCTCATGTCTCTAGGAGACCTCTGAGCAAAATTAGGCAATAATTTCCCGCCCAATTACTTTCCAATGCCTCTGGTAGATGGGGGAAATATCAGGAACCGACGGCCGACCTCGTTGGCTGAACGGGGCTGATAGTACGCACCAGTACCGGTAGGGTATGGCGACAGAAATTAAAGGGGGACGCACAATGGACCAATAACTGGTCTAAGTGCATGGTGAAAACCAGCCCCTCTAATAATAATAATAATAATATGACTATTAGCCTAGAAGATGGAGACCACGTAGAAATGGTAGCCATTTGTGCGTTACATAACTTATATAAAAATTAAAATTCCGCCACATTTTCGAGGGAAAAATAGTCGTTACATATTTAAGGCTTATTCGCTTACAAGGACTGGGTAGAAACAAACAAAAGAATCTCGGTTAGGATTGACCCTGAACCTTCCGAATGGGGCAGCGTTGGGATGGGAAACTGTCGAAGCATATTTTGCAAGAATAATGTAAATTTCATAGAAAGAGTTGAAGAAAATATAAAATTATAGGTGTAGGAAATCATAAGAAATTTTAATGATGTTTCTCGGCATTGAATGATGAGATATTTAATGACGCTGTATCAACTAAATAGGACTATCGTTACTTAGTATGGGGTGAGTTCCGCGAACGATTGTGAATTAGAGAACTTGGAGATATGAAAGAGGAAAACATGAGAGGTTAGCAACTGGTCTGTGAAGATAGTGATTGTTTCTTTCGTTAACGCTATGTACTGCTGAATTAGTCTGAAAATGTTCTTAGTTATATGTAATGAAGGTGATTAATTGAAATACTCGTCAGTATTGACTTGGAAGTTGTAGGATCTTCAATCTCTTAAATAGACATCTACAAGAATTTCGAGGTTCGGCAAGTGTCTTCTTTTGTAACGTAAATACCTTTTTGTTGTCAGATAAATTACTTCAGAAAACCATTCCCTACTTCATTAAAGAGCGAAAGTAGGTAAAATTAATTGATCTGTATTACACATGCGTCGGAGAAGGTGCGGAAAATATCAAAACGTGGAAAAATATGAACATAAATTTCTTGTTTGTAATTGTGCTCTCAGAAAGAATTTGACTATTTTTAAAATACTACTGGGAACTAAAACCAGAAATTGCTATTTCAGTGCTGTTGGGGTGCCTAGTTACAGCTTCCGTGAGACAAAAGTAAAAGTTACATGCATACAAAATCCATATACATTACTATAAATTAATTATTAAAGCATTTTTCTGCATTGGTTCGTCATACCCATGAAAAATTCCAGATAATGAGAGTACAAAGTAACATCTAATTAATATTTCAGATTTAAATAAAACCCTGATAATTAAAACGAATCCAACGAACAAGATTTTACGGTCATTGAACTTAAATTAGCGACATTTTAAAATTCAGTTTATTTTAAAACGCAAAAATCTTAGCAGCACAACCTTATTCTACAAGATTGATTATTTACTTAATTTTCTGGGACATAGAAATATAATCCTAAAATTAATTGTATAAAATTTCCCTCAACAAATTTAACTGCAAAGGAGTTTACCTTCTACAATTCAAATAATTCCCCAAGATTATAAAGGCATATATATTTTTGTAGTCGATTTTCCGCCTATTTACTCTTCGAAGAGTAATTCTGTAGGATAATTCATTCTCTGGGTCAAGGGTCTCCAACTCGTAGCACGCGGGCCACTTGCAACCTGACATTTTGGTTCTATGCAGTGCTGGAGAGTATCCTCTGACTTCCATCCAACTTGAGAGAGGTGACGGATTTTGTCGCAACATCTTTACGCGAAGAGCTCCTACCAAGTAGTCTGTGTAATATCTCCTTTAGTTTTACAGTAGACCTAATATCTAACTTAGAAAAGTATGAAATTGGTTTGACTCCATGAGTGTACATAATGCCGGCATAATCTAGCAGAACTTAGCCTTCGACTTCTGGAACTGTCGACCTGGCAGCATTCAATTTAAATAAATGTTGTTGCTTTTAGCTCGAATTCTTACTACTGTCTTTGTGCTTCATATCTGATGATTGCAGGGCACGTGCCTACATCGGAAGGGCTATACGTTGGGGGGTGGGGGGGTGGATATACTTATTAGCTGATTTTCCTTATTTATTTTTAAAAATTGAGATAGGCTTATACGATCTCCATCCTGCCTGTATGTCTGTGCACCCCCCCCCCATCAACTTTTGAATGCCTGAGCTAATCTTTATGAAACTTGGTATGTGTATCATGCCACCTGAGCAGATGTCACTGGCTTACTGGTACTTCATGAATCCTTCCAATGAGTCTATGCCTGTATGTATCGTTGCTGGGAAAAGGCTTTGTAAACACGTTCCCGCTGCAGCGAATACACGAAACAAAGAAGAATTGTTGGACGAGTCGTCTTCTATGCCGTCCGTGTCGTGTCAAAGAAGTGCTTATGGGTCTGTCTGTTTATCTCCTAAATGCAAATTACATTTGGAGGCGGTGCTATGAGCTCAGTAAAGAGCTACAAGACCTACACACACGTACAGATGTCGCCCTGCTCTCAAACTCCATGAGAGGGTCTTAATTCAAAATTATCACTTTTATCGGACTGACCGCTTGCAGGGAAGAAAAGGCCTTAGACCATGTAGATCTATGTTATATGTGCTATTCGTACATTTGACAAAAGAAAAGCCTATTCATAGGAGACAAACCCACCCTCTCGTCAGAGAAGATGTTACATAAGGACTATAGCCGCAAGGGTTCAGTTGCAAAAAAAAAATTCTGGTCGTGATTCTCAAGGGGCTTAGCTCAAAGACAGTCTGATTGGCTGACTCTTGATTCTGACTTTGTTTATCCCCTGTTGTTGCAAGGCAATTTCTCGGTAACGGCAACGAAGACTTTTCGGAGGCGCCGTTTTCTATACGGTCCGTGTCGTATCAAAGGAAAGTAGACGATTGATTCTTCCCAGAACTTTTTGTTTTATAATGCGGTCCAAAAATGCTTTGAAGTTTGGTAGCCCTGATCTAGAACAACCTGTCTTTTTCCAGTCACGTAAGGACAACCGCATTTTTTAGATGTCCTACAGCGACTAACGTTCATGAGTCTTTCCAGTGATGTAGTGTTTCTCCTTTGTTTCCTTCTCCCGGCCGTTCCGGTGTAGGTCTCTTCAGCGGTATTCTAAACATATCCTACTCCTGTGCTGCCCTCATCCGTCCGTTTAATTTGTGTATTTCCTTGTCACTTTTCTCAATGGTAGCTCATATTCCAATGTCCACTTTCGCTGCTTCTAATCGACTCTTCGTCTGGTACATGTAACTGTAATTTCTTATGTTCCTTCTACAGGCACTCGCCGTGACGTAAGAATGCTGTTTGCTGTATTTGGATGTAAGGGGGAGAATGGAACAGATGAAGACTGAATAATATGTCATTTTTTTTCCTTGGCACTACAGCCCAAGTGGGCCTAGGCCTACCTCCATGAACTTCTCCGTTCACTTCGGTTTTTCTAGATCTTACACATTCGGTAGGACTCCTTGGGCGGGTGATCAGCTCGTCGCAAGGCCCCTACCTGTACACAAACACAGAAAAACGCACACAAACATCCATGCCCTGAGTGGGATTCGAACCCACGATCCCGGCCTCCGAGCGAGCGAAGACAGTGCACGACTTAGACCGCTCGGCTACCGTGACCGGCAATGTGTCATCTAAATGGGCTTAATAATTCGTAGGCCTAATCTTTCTATCTCATCTCCAAGTATAATTAGAATGATCAAGTCAAGGAGGATGAGGTGGGCAGATCATGTAGCATGAATGGGGGAGACGAGGAATGCATATAGGATATTGGTGGGAAAACCAGAAGGAAAGAGACCACTGGGAAGATCAAGGCGTAGGTGGGTGGATGATATTAAAATGGATCTTAGAGAGATATGATGGGATGGTATGGATTGGATAGATCTGGCTAAGGATAGGGACCAGTGGAGGACTCTTGTGAACACGGTAATGAACCTTCTGGTACCATAAAATGCTGCGAAATTCTTGAGTAGCTGGAGAATTGGCGGCTCCTCCAGAAGGGCTCAGCTCCATGAGTAAGTAAGTAATCTTT